ATATACACCTTGAATCAAAGACCTTTATATGATGCTATGTCCCAAATTGGAAGAATTCATGGATCCATGGACTAAGAAGGATAGAGGCCCTGCTTATGATTATTCTCAATGGCCCACATAAAAAATTTGTGCTTTTTGTGCCTACAGTTCTGGGTTTTGCAAGTTTAAAAGTCCCCATCTCCAAAGTGGGAACATTTCTGTCTACCAGGGGACTCAGCAAGAAACTTTAAGCTATAACTTTAGCTGCCACCTGACACTTCAAGCTCCTTTTGTTCAGGGATCAGCAGGCAAGAAGTCACCATCTTGACAAGAATGACTGACCCTAATTATTATGGGAGGTAGAGCTGCTATTACACAACAGAGACAGGGAGACAGGTAATTCCTTGGGCACCTCTTTTGTATTCCCTTCCTTAACTGTGATGGTAAATGGACAAGTGCAGCAATCCCAGCCTGAAAGGGCAATGTGAATAGGGCTCAGACCCTCAGGCTTGAGGGTCCAGTTTATGCCAACAGCATGAAGCCAGCAAAGATGCTAACTGAAGATGTGAGGACATCTCAACAGCCACAAAAGATAATGACGGAAGGAGAAAATGCATAGAGGATGAGCCTCTGAGAGCAGTTGCAGCAGTGGGAGCTGTAATTTGTTCCATTAATTTTCCTTCTGAACTTTAATTTGTCTCATTAATCTTCCACTTGTAAGTCTCCCCCAGGGAGAGAGGCCCATGAGAACTGAGGCAAATTTAACAGCATTTGCCAACAAAGTACTTCCCTGAAGTCCTTACCACATTCTGATGACATGGGTGGGGTTCTCAAAATGAGTTAGGATATAGAGAGCTTTATCATTTCATTATCTTGGATATGGCTACTTAGAATTTCATGTGCTTCTCATTAATGCTCTGATGGTCAATTTGATGTGTCACCTTGACTAGGTTAAGGGATGCCCAAAGAGCTGAGGGTGTCTGGAGGGTGTTTCTGGAAGAGATTAGCACTTGAGACCATAGACTGAATAAAGGATATTGCTCTCACCCATGTGGTGGGCATCATCTAATCCTTTGAGGACCGAGTAGAACAAAAAGGTGGAGGAAGGGTGTATTTTCTCTCTGTGCCAGTGGGGACATCCATCTTCTCCTGCCCTCAGGGAGCTGTGCTTCCAGTTTTTGGGTCTTTGGACTCAGATTAGGCCTTAAGTCATTGTCTCAGGTCTTTGAGTTTGGACTAGAATTGCACCATGACTTTCTTGGGCCTCCAACTTGCGGATAGCAGGTCGTGGGATTTCTGAGCTTCCATAATGCCATGAGCCAATTCCTTATGATGAATATTTCACACACTTTCTCTCTACATATATAAATATCCATTGGTTCTGCTTCTCTGGAGAACCCTGACTAATATATTTTCCATTCCCCATTGGACTCTCAGCTCTCATTACCCCTTCCACTCCCATTCCATTCAGAGATACAAAGATTTCAACCACTTTCAAACAATCAACAGGTACTTTATGAACAGCTTTGTTCAGCTCTGCACCAGGCCTTATGGAACCCACTGCAACAGTGTACTTCTTCCACCCCCTCCCTCCCTGCTAGATTGCAAATTCCACCGGATCATGGACTGTGTCTAGTATTCCCAGTCCTGAGACCAAAACCTGGCACTTTCTAGGTGTTCTATATATTATTTTTCAAATAAATGAAGGACATTTATTTTTTAAATAAAGAAATGGCCCTCAAGAAGCCTGCTGCTTAGTGCAGGATGGGGCTGGGGGGAAAAATGAGGAAGACAAGAACTTAAATCCGAAAAATAATTAAGCTCCATAAATCTTCTGGGTATAATTGGCTGCTAAATGAGTACTGTGGCACTAAATTGATATTTTACGAGGTTGGAGAAGGAAAGGCTTCATACAGAAAATAGGATTTCTTCTAGGCCTTGAAAAGTACATAATGTCTACACAACTGAGAATGTTTGGAACTAAAAGGGATTTATTCATTCAACACATAAGTACTGGGTATTTACTTGGTGCTTGATGCAGTGAACAAAAGAGATAAAAACAATCCCTGTCCTCATGGAGCTTCCACTATTATAGACAGAGACAAACGATAAGTAAATAAGTGAGTTCGTGGTATATTAGCAGGTGTAGGGAGCTTTGGGGAAGAAAAAAAATCAAAGAAGGATGACACAGAGGGTCAGCATGATGAGGATGGGTGCAATGACTAGTTCCCAAGAAGTGAGATAAGGAACCATGCAGATCTTTCAGGAAGAGCATGCAGGCAGAAGGAACACAAGGTACAAGGGCTCTGAGGTAGGTATATGCCTGGTCTATGTGGCTGGCTCAGAGTGAACTAGAGCAAAACTAATACGTGGTTGGGTTTAAACTTTTTATTTTATTCTGAGTGAGAGGGAGAAGCATTGGAAGGTATATTAGTTTCATTTTGCTGTGTAGCAAATTACCACAAACGTAGTGGCTTGAAACAGCATAAATTTATTATCTCATCCTTTCCAAAGGTCAGGATTCTGGCATGTTTTCAGTGGGTCCTCTACTCAAGGTCTCACTAGGTTGAATCAAGGTGTCAGCTGGAGTTGCAATCTCATCTGAGGTTTTGGGATCCTTTTTCAAGTTCACTGATTACTGGCATAAATCAGTTCCTTATAGTTCTAGAACTGAGATCCCTGCTTTCTTGTTACCTATTAGCCTGGAGTCATTCTCAGCTCCCAGAGGCCATTTCCCATTCCTTGCCACATGGCCTTCACCACAGCATGGCTGTTTTTGAGGGCATTTCTGCTGCTTTGACTTCCTCTATCTCTACCTCTGGACCTTCTTTTTCTTTTTTAAATAGTTTATTATCAAGTTGGTTTCCATATAACACCCAGTGCTCATCCCCACAAGTGCCCTCCTCCATGCCCATCACCCTCCTTCCCTCCCCCCACCACCATCAGCCCTCAGTTTGTTCTTGGCATTCAAGAGTTTCTCATGGTTTGCCTCCCTCTCTCCCCCCCACTATTTTTCCCCTTCTTCTCCCCCATGGTCCTCCATTAAGTTCCTCCTAATCCACCTATACGTGTAAACATATGGTATCTGTCCTTCTCTGCCTGACCTATTTCGCTCAGCATAACACCCTCAAGTTCCATCCATTTTGCTACACATGGCCAGATTTCATTCTTTCTCATTGCCATGTAGTATTCCATGGTATAGATAAACCACATCTTCTTGATCCATTCGTCAGTTGATGGACACTTAGGCTCTTTCCATGTTTTGGCTATTGTTGAGAGTGCTGCTATGAACATTGGGGTACATGTACCTTATGCATCAGCACTCCTGTATCTCTTGGGTAAATTCCTAGCAGTGCTATTGCTGGGTCATAGAGGAGTTCTATTGTTAATTTTTTGAGGAACCTCCACACTGTTTTTGGACCTTCTTTTAAAAGGGCCCACCTGATTAAACTGGGTACACCTACAGCAGGGGCAGGAATGTTGGGACCATTTTAGAATCCTGCTTACCTCAGAGGGCTTGAGCAGAAGAAAGGCAGGGTCTGACTTTAGTTTTGGCAGGATTGCACTGGTGCACTGGTGAGAATAGATGGAGGGAGATAAATAGACACTAGATGGCCAGCTAGGAGGCCATAATGAGATATTGGGATGGAGAGGGCTGAGAGTGTGTTGAGACTTACATGGCCAGGGAATGCCTAGAAGCCTAGAAGGAGATTCTAGACATTTTCTTGATGACAAAAGGCACCATGGTAGCATTCTGAGTTGGGGACAAGTGTAACTTTAGATTCACCCATGCATAATTGCTCAGAGGCTCCTTGCGTCATCCTATGTAGAAAGATTTGCTTATAGTAAAAGCACAGTGATTACCAAGGAGCAAGAGGTGCAGCAGAGGTGAGTCAACATGCCTGGTTTGCTGAGGATGCTGCAGCCAGGTGTCACTTGAGATCCCCAAGAAATCCTCAAGCTCTGACTCAGGCCAATATCTCCATTCCCCTCTTGTCCATTCCCTTCTTTCCTCCTATCAGGGAAGATGTCTCATAGGGTCCCACAAGGTGGAAGGCAGAAGCAGTCTGAAAAGTGCGGCAGGGATGTGCCTGTGAATATCTACTAATCTGAGACTTGTTCCCTTTCCAGGAGGGAGAAGGAAAGAGAACAAGGTAGCATATTTGAGGCAGGATTGCTGAGGGCCAATGTGGACATTGATGTGAAAACATCTACCCCAGAGCAGGGCATAGAGTCGGTCCTTGATCCAGTGATGTTTACTGTGCTTCTGGTGACTAACATGCCATCCTTGTCTCAAGGAGTTTAGTTTTGTTGAACACAAGTTTTCAAATAGCCTGTGTGCTATTGCAAACACATGTGTGTATGCATGCGTGTGTGTGTGTGTGTGTGTGTGTGCGTGTGCGTGTGTGTGTGTGTGTGTGTGTGTGTGTGTATTCTAAGGTCAGGCTGTCTGGGTTGAGATCCTAGCTCCAGCACTTAATTGCATGATGTTATGCAAATCACTGACCCCTGTGTGCCTTGCTTTCCTCTTTGTAAATGAGGTGATAATAGTAGCTGCCTCAGAGAATTAGTGTAAGGGTTGCTTTAATGGCATGAATTAACATTAGAACAGCACCTGGAATACAGGTATGCTACGTAAGTGCTTGATACATAAAACATGTAAATCTTAAAATCTCCAATGAGGTCTCTTCGTCTTGTGGTGTTCTTTCTCAATTCTTGCAACCACCTTGCACTGGGTGTGGATGGAGCTGAAGGGCTCACCTTTATGTGAATGTGAATGAAGGAGACAGGGGGCGGGGAGCGGGGAGGGGTTGGTGGCTACCGGAGCTCAGCCCAGAGCCAGGCTGACTGGCCTGCATGTGTCTTCCAAGCTCCACCCCAGACTACGGAGGCCTAGTTTCTGGGGACTGGAACTGGGAATGAGCTTTCAAAGCATCCTCGAGAGAGTATCACGATGGCACAGAGGTGTGCGGCAGACCTCACCAGGATCGACGTCGGACGCACTAGATCGTCAAAGAACTATGTCGCGGCAAGAAGCAAACGCCAACGCCTCCTCGTGGGTCGTTGCGTCCCGACGAAGCTGGGCAGTGTCCCGGGCTCCAGAAAGAAGGCCTATGGAGGATCCAAATCGAAGAGGTCAGGGAGTGCCTAAGAGCGGCGGAGGAAGCGGCTGGAGGTATCCATCTGGGCTCCCGCAGGCAGTGGCGGCTGGTGCCCGCAAACCGCCGCTCTGCTTTGGGGTAAAGTCCGTGTGGGTCGGCGCTGTGATCGGTCGTGGTGGGTCAAAAATACAAGAGATACAGAGTATAACGAACACAAAAATACAGATAATAAAAGGTTATCCAGAAGCGGAGGTCAGAATATTTGGTACCAGGGGAATGAAGACCAAGGCCAAAACAGCAATAGATAATGTTGTTAAACAACAAGAAAATTACAATCCCAAACCCAAAATTGATTTACCTGCAATTAAGAAAAACTTTTACATAGAGTCAGAAACAACAAGTTCAATGACACAAGAGCAAGTGGCTATTTGGAGGAAAGAAAATTATAATGTGAAAAATGATCAGAAGCATCAGATACCAAATCCTACATGTACTTTTGAGGAGGCCTTTAAACATTACCCAGATGTCATGGACAACATTAAAAAGGCAGGATTCAGGAAGCTGACACCTATCCAGTCACAGTCCTGGCCAATAGTGCTGCAAGGAATAGATCTTATAGGAGTATCTCAGACTGGAACTGGGAAGACATTGTCATATTTAATGCCTGGATTCATCCATCTGGATTTGCAACCAGTAATTAAAGAAAAAAGGAACAGACTGGGGATGTTAGTCCTTACACCCACTAGGGAATTGGCTCTTCAAGTTCAAACGGAATGTTCTAAGTATTCATCTAAAGGCCTTAAAAGTGTTTGTATATATGGTGGAGGAGATAGAAATGATCAAATACAGGCACTGAAAAAAGGAGTCGATATTATCATTGCAACTCCTGGAAGACTAAATGATCTGCAGATGAATAACTTTGTCGACCTGAGAAGCATTACTTACTTGGTGTTAGACGAAGCTGACAAGATGTTAGATATGGGGTTTGAGCCCCAGATAATGAAGATTTTATTAGACGTGCGCCCAGACAGGCAGACAATTATGACCAGTGCAACGTGGCCATATGCTGTCCGTCGACTTGCAGAGTCTTATTTGAAAGATCCTATGATTGTTTACGTTGGTACTTTGGACCTAGTTGCTGTAAGTACAGTGAAACAAAAATAATTGTCACCACAGAAGAAGAAAAGAGATCTCATGTACAAGATTTTATAGAAAGCATGTCTCAGAAAGAGAAAGTCATTGTCTTTGTTAGCAGAAAAGCTGTTGCCGATCACTTAACGAGTGACCTGATTCTGCAACATATATCAGTGGAGTCCCTACATGGCAACAGAGAACAAAAAGATAGGGAAAGAGCATTAGAAAACTTTAAAACAGGTAAAGTAAGAATACTGATCGCCACAGATCTAGGATCTCGAGGTCTTGATATTCATGACGTCACACACGTTTATAATTACGACTTCCCCCGGAACATTGAAGAACACGTACATAGAGTAGGCCGGACTGGAAGAGCAGGGAAAACTGGAACATCCATTACTCTCATCACAAGAAATGATTGGAGTATTGCTGGCGAGTTAATATTCTAGAAAGAACACGCCAGAGCATCCCAGATGAACTTAGAGCAATGGCTGAACGATATAAAGCAAATAGACTGAGAGGAGAAAGAGAAAAATGGGGGAAAACCCAAGGAAAATACAAAACGTGTTATTACTAATGCCCTTGTTAAAGTACCAGCTTACTTACAAAGAAGATTTCAAGACCTTAGAAACTTTCGGATATGTGGAAATACTGCAAACATACTGGTTGTATGAAGAGATGACTGATTCTAAAATAATAGTGTTAAATAAGATAGAATTCAGTATTTTATACCTTTAATAAAATCAAACATTTAAACTTAAAAAAAAAAATAAAAGCATCCTCGAGAGATTTTTAATATCTTACTAGCTATGGTATTTACTGATAGTATTGATTTGTCTTTTCTGCCTGTGTTTAATTTTCACTTTTGTCTGTGGAGAGTGAGTGCGTATGTGTGTGAGGTAATCCTTTGTCATCCACCTGCTCTCACAGAGCTATGGTAACAACTGGTTTGGGTGTGGGCTTTTGTACCAAAGCTCATTCCATTGTCAGTTTGGTGAATAAAGCTCATATTTGTTTCTGTGCTGCTGTTAAGACATAGAGACCTTTCTTGTTTTTTCATTCTCTCTCTCAAATGCGGGCATGAGCACTTTCTGACCATTTCCTACATACTCTTCTGAGTCAGGTATATATATTTGACAACCAGCAGTGCTGATAATAACTGATCCAGGAGGCTAGAGCAGGGAGTAGAAAGACAAAATCTTGACTTGGTTTGAGGAGAGCAGGAGAGCTTTTGAGAAGTGGAGAAAGAAAAGCCCTTCCTCAGAGCCCTCCCCCAGCCTCCTGGCACTGCTAAGGGGACAGTCAAGTTGAATAATTTAGAATCGCATCTTTAGTGGGCCGTTAATCTCCACCCCCACACCCCTCAGAACAGAATGGATAGCTCAGAACAGAGCTATCTTTCTGACCCTCCCCGATTGTTTTGTTATGGCTAATGGGCTGATTTCCAGTTATATAACCTCTTCTCAGGTCAATGAAATCTCATTATTCCACAGTGTGGTGCACTTCAGGTCTGGGTTCACATTGAGCTACCTGAGAGGAGCTGGGAACGTGCTGTTTCTCATCATTTCCACCCAGCAAGAGAACTGGTGAGAAAGAGCTACACCCAAGCCAATTATGGTGGGGTCCTTGGGGGCTGTTATATAATCTTCCTGAGACAGTGGAATGGAGTGGGCCTTGAGTTCCCGGGGGCACACTGGCTGAGATGGCATCTTTTCCATACTCCACGTTTTGGGTAAGTAAGTTCTCTTTCAAACCCAGAGGATTTTGAGGTATTTGTATGTGGCTGAGTGAAGCAGGGGTCTTCTAAACTGACTTCAGATTTTCTTGCCTACAAATAAACAAAATAAGAAAATGAACAAAAATAGAGAGAGGTCTTTCTTCCAGGTCTGGTAATTGGCTGTGTTTTAGGTCCTAAATGAGCCCTGATCCAGGCAAATCAGGTCACCAACACCATAATCTTTTAATCTAAATATGAAAACCCTGACCCCCAGGACAGGTACACAGCTTCATTGGGATGCAGAAGCTTTGGTGAGATGTCTAGGCCTGGTGGCCTCTGAGGCAATTAGGGTGGCTGTATGGCATGGTAGGGGACAGTATGTAGGACATTGGGGTCAGCAGAACTGGTTTGATTCTGCTCTGCCTCTTACCAGTCATGTGATCTTGGACAAGTCACTTTATCAGTCAGGAAAACAGAAGCCACTCTTACTTTTTCAACAGAGAGTATTTAATTATATAGGAAGAGCTAAAGTGACAAACAGCATGGGGGAGCTTGGGGACCCACAGCAGGAAGCTGCTGCCCCCCTGGAACCCAGGGAGGGGGTACATCTTATCAGAGTTCAGAAGCCAGGACTGTCCCCAGGAGCTGGGACCATGGAGGGAGGAATGTCAGGGGGGAGCTAGAGTCATGGGGGAGACAAAGAATTGCTGGAGATGCCATTCATTGAAGAGAGGGATGAGAAGAAGTACCCAGGGTTTTCCCTTCCTCTCACCCTCCAATCTTGTACCAGTGCCCCCACTGGGTGAGTCTGCTGCAGGGCAAAGGAGCTTGGGAAATGAGTCTTCTGTGATACAGAACAAAACAGGGAAAGCGCAGGGAAGGGATCAAAGAACAAATAGGTGCATGGCTTGTATAGCCACTAATGTCTTTAAATAAATTGTACTAATGATTAATCACTAACTACTGCCATTGCTGGGGCTCAGGCATGGAGGCCGATGGATACTCTCAGTTGTCTGGGAGGGGAAGGAAATGCAGTGTTTGCCCACATAGGTACCTCCTATGCATATAGTACCTCCACCCTCTGTCCACTTAGCAGAAAGAAGAGCCCCAAGTGGCTGAGGGTGGGCTCAACTTCCAACTGAATGTAGCTCAGACTGTGTTCTCTGTGGGAAGCCTTGCTTCCAATGTACTCTCTTAGTTTGGGTTCCTCCAAAAACCAACCTTGGGACAGAGACCTGGTGCAAGTAGTTTATTTCAAAGGTGATCTCAGGAAACAGGAGTGAGGACATGGGGAAGGGAGACAAGCAAGGGGAAAAAGCCAGTAAAGGATGAATTAATGGGCAGATTACTATGGGCCGTTGGGTTTGGTCCTGCTAGAGATTTTCTCACAAATTGTATGTAATACACTTAAGAATCATCATCCTACTAATGGACAGGGAGACTAGGACTTTATTCCTGTCCATCACTGGCAGACAGTTTCTACCTGGAGAGTAACTTTTCCTTGTCTTCTAGGCTATCTGTGGTGGAGCAAGCTCCCTCAATGCTGGAGAAAGTCCTTCAGCAGAGAAGAAGCTTACAGGATGCTGGGACCTGCCTGCTGCACCTGTGGGGGAATTCAGGTAGGCCACGGGAGGCATGGCATGAGCACCGTGTGTCAAAGGAAGTAAAAAAAAATCCCTAAAGTGTGTTGTTAGGTAGTAAGAGGGGTCATTGTCACCTTTGCCTCTTGGCTCTGGGACCTGGATTATCTGACTTTAGGGGAAATAACACCATATATTGGCCACTTGATCCTATAGGATAGTATCCCAACCTTACAGAGTGCAAGGCCCCAGTAAGCATCATGGAAAGGGGACTGTCCTACTAAATCTGTGGTCATAGATGAATACAGCCACTGCAAAACCTTGGTTAGATAGGAAGTGAAGGGTCAGGGGGCATGGAAAAAAATACCCTGACCTCTTTCCTTCATTTCTTCCCTCTCCAATCTCCTACTAGTGCCTCTCATTGGCCGAGCCCAACTGGAAGCAGAAGAAAAGCCTGCTTGCATAATGCAGTCCACAGGGGTCTGTTTTCTAAAGGACAGGATAGAGCAAAGAGAGCCAGGGGATGGGGCAGAGAGGTGGCAATGAGACCACAGTCTGACTGATTGCTTCCAGAATGCCTGCCCCCTTTCCATCCAATCTCACAGTCATCATCTTTGTTCCAGTGTCATTATTCCATCTCTTAACTATTGGGACAAACTCCTAGTACATCTCCCTACCTCCAGTCCACCAAAACTAATGCCTGTGACACAGACTGAGTCCTACCACTCCCCTTTCAGAGAACTCTGGTGTTTCCCATTCTCTACTCATTACTGAAGATGGCCAGATAAAAGGCAATTTGGGGGATAAAAAGATGATTCTGAAATGTCACATCTTATGTCTAAAAAGGAAGATCAGTATTAAGACGCTGGAAGTGGATAGTTTCACCATAAAAGAGGTGTGGTTAAAAAGAATGTCAATTGGACTCTTTAATGTCTTAGCATCATAGTCTAGGCTCTTCTCAGTTAAAATCTTCTTTCCAGACTTGTTTTCCAAGACTAGTGTTCTACTTCATTCTCCCATGTGCCTTGAGTCCCAGCCCTGACATCACTGGACTGCACCATCTATGCTGAGAATTCTATACTTTTGCTCTTGCTATTCCTCCAGCCCAGAAAGCCCCTCCCCATCTGGCCTTGGTGGATGGTTTGATCAACTGCCCATGGTCAGTTCAGTCAGTACAGCAGGCTTCTTGGCCCTCATACTCAGAGTGTGGTACTTAGACTGGCAGTGTAGCAGTACCTGGGAACTTGTTAGGTATGTAACTCTCAGGGTCACCATACCTAGAATAGAATCAGAACCTGCACTTGGACCAAATCCCCAGGTGATTCCCAGGCACTTCATGGTCTGAGAAGCAACAGATGTTGCATGAGCAACCTAAGTGGGGCTTGTAGCTTGAGCAAAGCGGTTGGTTCCTTTCCTGGTCTTTTTAGAATAAAGGTTAGGGGCCTCAGTTTTTAGTTAGTTGTAAACCACTTGTATTTGTAGCTCTGAAGTTATAAGGGAGGGGGGCTAACAAAATGGTTAAGAGAATGAACGTTTGCATGATACAGCTATGGGTTAAAATTTCAGCTCTCCCACTTACTAGCCTGGAGTTTAATAAAGGCAGTTAATGTTTCTCAGCCTTCACTTTCCAAAATGTAATGTATTAATGATACCAGAGCACTGGAGCAAGGATCAAATGAAATCAGATGTATCCATTGTTTAATAAATGTTAACTGTATTTGTTATTGCAAACCCGTGAAGCAAAGTCACTAGGCAAGAAACCCTTGTGTGGGAAGGTCTTGGCCATTTAACTAGTGGTGGGAGGGATAGGTCTTTGGTTATATACTAGGAGCCTAGGGACCTCAGAGTGACAAATCAGAGAAAACAAAGCTGCATCCAAGGTAAGTTTAGTCTACGTGGCTGAACAGATGCTCCCCCAGTGGAACAATGTCTGCAAGCACTATCTGGAAGGTAGGAGGTATCCTGGTGGGCTCCCTGGAGGTAGGGTTATGGGAATTGGTGACCCCTCCTCTTATGATATAAAGTCAGCTGTAACTGATTACACTGGACTAGAAAGGAGATGCGTCACCATCTTCCTGCATGGCTTATCTCAAACAACTGTTACCATCTAATATCTTACTAGTACTCTACTACTTACAAAACACTCATTTCCATCATCCCTTTTAACTTGGTACGTGACAGGGTTTAGCATGCTATTCAAGTTTCCCATGACTGCCCACTTCTGCTGATTCACACAGGAAAAATAATCTAGTCCAGGGCAAAAAACAAACCTTTAGCTTGCTTATCTCCCTAGATTTTTTGAGTAAGAAATAGAAGGACTTGAGGGCTCATCAGGTGTCTTCCTCCCTCCTTCCTGTTGAAGGCTGTGACTTTGGAAAAGAGAAGAAGCCTTGGGACAGGAGCAGCTTGCTTTGGGGAGGATTTTCAGGGCATGGAATCGA